CTTACAGTAGGTAAAGGACTAAAAATAGAGTTACCCATTGGCTATTATTTGATAGACAGAAATAAGTAAATCAGTTCTGTTGCCAAAAAGTATTTTTTCAAGTCTAGCCACCACTAAAGAAGCAAAACATTATTATTAGTTATATTAGTTAAAATAGAAAATTATCATGTTATTGCCCTATTAGAATGCATTGGAAGCTATACTTATTAGAAAACTGAGTTCAACCCCACAGCGAATTTAAAAAGTAAAACTTGAGTTATTTGTATTTCATGACTTACAGCAAAATCATACATAATAGCATCTTTGAAATTGTAATACATTTCTTTTTCTCTAATCCCTTTGATAGGTTTGGATTCTGAATTTATAATTTACACATTATTTTCATTGATGTTTTGTTATTTGCTTGTTTTTTAGGTGAAGATCTAAATTGTACTTATGTTTTAAATATAAATTTTAAGGTCATGCTTGGTGGCTTAGCCTGTAATCCCAGAACTTTGGGAGGCCCAGGCAAGTGGATTGCTGAAGCCTGCAGGTTCGAGACCAGCCTGGGCAACTTGGCGAGACCTCATCTCTACAATAAATTTTTTAAAAAATTAGCTGGGCATGGTAGCATGCGCCTGTACTTCTGGCTACTTGGAAGGCTGAGGCGAAAGGATCGCCTGAGCCCAACAGGGTGAGGCTGGAGTGGCCGTGAATGTGCCATGGCACTCCAGCCTGGGCTACAGAGTGAGACTCCAACTCAATCAATCAATACATTCAAAACTAGTTATTTTTAATCTGATTGAGAGTACTGTCACAGTCCGTTTCAGTAGCTTATATTCCTCACATAGGTTAACAGACGTGAGCTCTAATGTTCACATTTTTATAAAGAAAATTGGAAAATTATATATATATATATATATATATATATATATTTTTTTTTTTTTTTTAATGACTGTGAGAGAGAAATAAACTTTATTTAAAATCAGATGCCATAGTCCTTAACTGGCTGCATAGTAATGGTAGACTAATAAGAGAACATGAAAGTATTTAACTGGTTTACAGTTTGATCTTAATAAAGCTGTTTAAAATTTGCATCATATAAGAGATGCCTATTACTCTTCTTGTTTTATGTGTTAGCACTCACAGCAAGGAACTTGTAGTCTGGAAAATTACTTGAGTGAAAATCTGTTTGGGATTCCACATTTAATTCAGCATTTCTCACTCCTGTGCTTTATCTTATTCTCACTCCTATGCTTTATCTTATTATTCTTCGGTCTTATAACTGGTAACTAAAATAGTTAACACAAATAACTAGAATGTTTTTCTTAAGTAAGTGCTTTAGGTAACTAGAGTTGTAGGGTTTTAAATCCATTTTATCTCAATTTGAAATGTGTTGATGGTTTATTTAGCATGAACATTTACTTCAGTATTAACTATAAATGTTAATTGCAATTTAGAGTTACATAGACCCAAATAAGTTACTACAAAATGTATAAGTGTAGAAGTTTTACAAGTTAATATATAGTCTTAGCACTCCATGGTTAATTTATATGCTTTTTAAAAAATAAATTATAAAAGCAATCGGATATCTATTATTTTTGGTAGTTACAAAAATACTTTCTAACTAAAAGTTTACAAAGTGCCTTTTTTTTGAGTTGGCGTCTCACTCCATCGCTCAGGCTGGAGTGCAGTAGCACACTCATGGCCACCCCAGCATCGATCTGCTGGGCTCAGCGATCCTTCTGCCACAGCCTTGCAAGTAGCTGGAACTACAGGCACGCCCTACCACACTCGGCTAGTTTATTTATTTATTTATTTACTTATTGTAGAGACGAGATCTCGCCAACTTGCCCTGGCTGGTCTCGAACCCGGAAGCTCAGATAATCCACTTGCTTCGGCCTCCCAAAGTGCTGGGATTATAGGCTGAGCCACCGAACCTGACCGAAAGTACCTTTTTTAAAGGATTTAAAGTCCAATTTTGTCATTACAAATTAAACATTTTAGTGGGCTATATAAATTTCTTCTATGTTTCAGATAAGATTTTATTTTGTCCTTATCTTGAAGAATCTATAATTTATTGATAATAGTTCTAAAAAAAAACATTTTTAAGAAACAAAACACTTCTCACTGTATAAGCAAAGTTTAGTTCATAATTTTGCTGTAAAATAGACAAAATCTGACACATAAAAGGAGGAAACTTTAGTAGAGTTATTGTCAAAATTTTGGCAGAGTTTTTCTTTATGTTTTAAATGTATTCAGCTTCTGGTAAATTAAACTTTTCAGCATTAATTGTATTAAAACCTCTGGTATTCTTATACCTGAAGACATTATGGACTATTATAACCTAAAATTATTATTATTATTTTTTATTTTTTATTTTTGAGTTGGAGTCTTACTCTGTTGCCCAGACTGGAGTGCAGTGGCCGCTCCCGGCCACCGCAGCCTCGACCTGCTGGGCTCTGGCGATCCTTCTGCCTCAGCCTTCCAAGTAGCCGGAATTACAGGCATGTGCTACCATGCCCGGCTGATTTTTTGATTTATTGTAGAGATGAGGTCTTGCTGCCCAGGCAGGTCTCGAACCCATGGGCTCAGGCAATTCACTCACCTCAGCCTCCCAAAGGCACAGGATTACAGGCTGAGCCACCGAGCCCGGCTATAACCTAAAATTATTAAGTATATTCTAAAATAGTTTGAAACACTTGAAAGCTATGTAGTAGGTGAAAATATTAAAGATTAGTATTTTTTTCTATTTAGTTGAAACTTTGTCTCCCCCCGCCCATGAACATTAATATAAAGCATTTCAGGATGATCTTGGAAAACTAAGGAAAAAATAATTGCTCTTATTCCCTGTTACCAAGCAGTGATACCCAAACCCACAGAATTAACATTTCTAAATAGGTGACCATTAAGAAAAAATACATGTAGTATCCTATTTTGATTTATATTTAATCAGCTCAAACTATTAACTAAATTAGGGTTCTCAGTAATAGATTTAAGATAAAATTTATTCTTTTTCAGAGGCCTTTTCTTGTGTAATTCTGCATCCTAGAAAGCTGAACATTTAAAAATGTTGAATAGTTTTGGTGCTCATATCTAAAGTTGTAAGTAAACTAATTAATTTTTAGATTGATGGCATTAATAGATGTAATGTGAAGGTGAAAGATATGAAATAAATTGTAATTTGCAAGATTTTTCTAGTTTAAAATTAAAGCTATTGGTTACTTTGCATTAGAGGTATTTGAGAAAAAGTTTGTATAGGGTACTTTTTATATACCAACCTCTGTAATTCATTTTTACCAAGATATATTTTAAAATTCTGTTTTTTTGTAAATATAAAAGCACAATAAAGGCTAATGGAATTCTTCGTATGTTGGAATAGTAGGGAATGCTTTCCGTAACATACCTTTCTCTCTTAAATATGAATACGTTCTTAAACATCTAGTTTCTATGGAATAATATGTTTGGTTGGGTTGGTAAATATTCCTATGAAATAAACTATTAGTTGTTAATAACCCTAAATACCTAGATTTCTTGTTTGCCAGAGAGCTTTTGTGAGACTTATACTTGTATAAATTTTGAATTGGAAGATAAAATTTGTGAGCTGGGCACAGTGACTCACGCCTGTAATCCCAGCACTTTGGGAGGCAGAGGTGAGAGGATTACCTGAGCCCAGGGGTTCAAGACCAGCCTGGTCAACTTGACGAGACCTCATCTCTACAGTAAATCGAAAAATTAGCCGGGTGTGGTGGTGCACACCTGCAGTTCCAGCTACTTAGAAGGCTGAGGAGGAAGGATCATATGAGTCCAGCAGGTTGTGGCTGCAGTAGCTTTGAGTGTGCCACTGTACTCCAGAGTGAAACTCCAACTCAAAAAAAGGACAGAGTGAAACTCCAACTCAAAAAAAGGAAAGATTTGTGAAATTTATAGTGTTCTAGTTAGACTGTATAATTTTGATACAAATTTTTATGTTACTAAAATTTATGGAACACTTTAATCTTAGAAATAAAATTTCTCTCAGTTAATTTTCTATGTACTTTTTTAGTTTTCAATCATATGCATATAATTTTTGAGAATAATGTTTAATTCTTCTGTATCTTCCTTATTGGACTTGACTGTTTTATTATGTGTATCAATTACTAAATGATACAGTTTTGTTGAAAGTATTGTAATGAGCTCCTGGCCACTGCAACCTCGACCTGCTCACTCCAGAGATCCTTTCGCCTCGGCCTTCCAAGTAGCCAGAACTACAGGCGCGTGCTATCATGCCTGGCTAATTTTTGATTTATTGTAGAGACAAGGTCTCACCAAGTTGCCTGGGTGGGTCTCGAACCCGCGGACTCAGGCAGTCCACTTGCCTTGGCCTCCCAAAGTGCTGGGATTACAGACTGAGCCACCGAGCTAAGTCAAGATATGTAATATAATTTTTTTTTGTTTTACTTTGGCACCATATTTTGTAGTCAACATCATTCTTTCATTTATGGACAAACAGCTCTACCATCAAAATCTCTTATATGTTGATTTTCAGTACTTCATTTAACTTCCAGTGAGGTCCTGTCAGAGATTTCCTCTTTTGGGTAGCAAGACTTTTTTCACACTTGACTCTCTACAATATTTTTTGGACCAGTAGTTTTCCAAAGTTTACTAACTCTTGACCATATCTTAATATGTTTTGGGATAGTGCTTATCTAAAGGAAATACTTTTTATAAAAACAAAATCCCCCAACAATCCAAAGTAATTTGTATTCGTAAAAATGGAATGTACAAAGTTAATCTTGTTTGTTATGGTCATTAAGAAAAATACATAAAAGCTTTAATGACTGCTATGTGAGATACCAATATAAATACAGCTTAGTTATTAGGTTATTGTTTCTGGACAAAATTTTAGATTTTTAGTTAATTCAGCAAATAGATTTTTTTAAAGATAAAGCATATAAAAATTATTCAGAGGTGTTTTAGGTTTTGAATCTATGATGGTTGACTTTAACAGTTAACTCTTGAAAGATGAATGATGAATATGTGGTTAATTCTTACTTTTGTCCATTTCCAGCTTGCAAAACACTACACAGCAAAATAATGATCTGCTAGACTGCTAACCCGAGCATCCAGCTTCCACAATGCCTGTGCAGGCAGCTCAATGGACAGAATTTCTGTCCTGTCCAATCTGCTATAATGAATTTGATGAGAATGTGCACAAACCCATCAGTTTAGGTTGTTCACACACTGTTTGCAAGACCTGCTTGAATAAACTTCATCGAAAAGCTTGTCCTTTTGACCAGACTGCCATCAACACAGACATTGATGTGCTTCCTGTCAACTTTGCACTTCTCCAGTTAGTTGGAGCCCAGGTATGCTTTCAAGATTTTGCTAATTAGTATAGGTAATAACTACAGAACTTTATTCATTAATAGATACAAAGTATGTTTTGTGATCATTGACATATAAAAAAATAAATATTATCAGTGTGTCTGAATTTCATGATTATATTCCACAAAAGGTTTTCTTTAGGTATCATAAATCCTTATACAAAACTATAAATTACATTATAGTAATTTGGGTATACAGGTGATTTTGGTAGATAAGAAACATTTTTATATAAGCATACATAAACATTTATTCATTAGTTGATAGGAAAATTTAAAAAATCAAAACTTTGGCCAGAAATGGAAGGTTTTTTTGTTTCTCTGAACTTTGCTTGACTTTAAAGTAAATAACATAAATAAAAACTTAAGGACTGTTTAGGGATGTATATATGGAAAACAAATTACCAGAGTGTCAGTAATCAATTCTGCGTGGTTTCTTATGTACGTGTGATGTAGATTGAGTATTTCATGTTTATTTTCTGGAATCAGAGCAATACTCTAGATTTGAAATAACTTTCATTTCATTAGAGTCTACTCTGTGTTAGGTATAACAGTAAGTATTCAGCATCTCTTACTACTAATCCTTACTATAGCTCTTCAGGTAGTTATTATCCCCATTTTACAGGTGAGGAAGAAGATGAAATTCTGTACATCATGCACTACATATTAAAGTAAGAACGTAAGGACTTTTCTGATTTATTAGAAAATTCCCTTATTTTGATATGGTATTTGAAGCTTATATTTTAAACCACAAAATTTATTTTTATTGTTTATAATCAAGTTAGACACTCTGAAATCAAGGTACATCTATAATCAATATTTGTCATAATTTAATTGGCAGCATATTTTTGTCAGTATAGTGTAAAATAATATTGCCTCTTGTAGACTATGGCATTTTAGAGTCAATAGCATACTATAGACTTTTTTGTAATGATACTAGCTACCATTTAGTTAGTGTCTGCCATAGGTCAGTTACTGTGTTAATATCATTTGTAAATGTTACCTCAATTGGTTCTTAAAGTGTGACTTCTGTTACCTCTTCAGTCTCTTCTCCTATTACTGTCCTTACACTGACCTTTTGGCCAGTTCTCAAATATATTACTACCGAGGACTTTTTTTTTTTTTTTTTGAGTTGGAGTCTCACTCCTTCGCCCAGGCTGTAGTGCAGTGGCATGCATACTCATGGCCACCCCAGCGTCGACCTGCTGGGCTCCAGCGATCCTTCCGCCTCAGCCTTCCAAGTAGCCAGAGCCACAGATGCATGCTACCATGCCCAGCTATTTTTTAAAATTTTGTTATAGAGACAAGGTCTCACCAAGTTGCCTGGGCTGGTCTCAAACCACAGGCTCAGGCAGTCCACTCATCTCGGCCTCCCAAGTGCTGGAATTACAGGCTGAGCCACTGAGCCTGGCCTTCCGAGGACTTTTGTAGTTACTATTATCATGGTATAGAATATTCATTCCCTCTCCTCTTTCCAATCATTATTCAAATGTCATCGTTCTCAAGGAAACCTATCCTGACCACCTCAGTTAAAATTTCAACTCCCCTCCAGTATTTCCAGTCCCCCCATCTTTGCTGTATAATTTTTATTGTTCACCTCCTAACACACTATTATGTTTCTTAATTATTGGCTGTATCTTCTCTCCACTAGAATGTGAGCTCCACAAGGGCAAGAAATTTTTTCTGTTTTGCTCACTGATAAATTTCTAGTACCTAAAACTATGCCTGGCACATGGTGAGCACTCTGTAGATATAAATATTTATTGAATTATATTGTGCTTTTTTAATTCACTATGAAATACAGATTTTTTTTTCTTTTTTTTTTTTTGAGTTGGAGTCTCACTCTGTCACCCAGGCTGGAGTGCAGTGGCATGCTCACAGCCACCGCGTTCTCGACCTGCTGAGCTCAGGTGATCCTTCCACCTCAGCCTTCTAAGTAGGTGGAACTACAGACACGTGCCACCACACCCAGCTAATTTTTTGATTTATTGTAGAGATGAGGTCTTGCCAAGTTGCCCAGGCTGGTCTTGAACCTGTGGGCTCAGACAGTCCTCTCACCTCAGTCTCCCAAAGTCCTGGAATTACAGGCGTGAGCCACCGTGTCCAGCCTAAATACAGATTTTCATCTTCATTTTGCAAGTATGAAAATTATGGCGTGGAGCACTTTAATAATTTACTCAGCCGGGTGCGGTAGCTCATGCCTGGAATCCCAGCACTTTGGGAGATGGAGGCAAGAGAATTGCCTGAGTTCAAGGGTTCAAGACCACTCTGAGCAACATGGCGAGACCTATTCTCTACCATAAACTTTAAAAATCAGCCAGGCGTGGTGGCACGTGCCTGTAGTTCCAGTTACTTGGAAGGGTGAGACAGAAGGATTACCTGAGCCCAGCACGTCCGGGCTTTGGTGGCCATTAGTGTGCCATTGTACTCCAGCCTGAATGGAAGAGTGAGACTTTGACTCAAAACATAATAATCACAATAATTTACTCAAGATCACTCATAGAACTGGCAGACCTGCAATTTTTTTTACCCAAGTTTTGACCTTTAATTGATTGCACTGGGTCTTATGGGGCTTTTTTTTTTTTTGAGTCAGAGTCTCACTCTGTCATCTAGGCTGGAGTGCAGTGGCATGCTCACGGCTACCACGGCCTTGACCTGCTGGGCTCAGGTGATACTTCTGCTTCAGCCTTCCTAGTAGCTGGAATTACAGGCATGCGCCACCATGCCCAGCTGTTCTTTGATTTATTGTAGAGATGAGGTCTTGCCAAGTTGCCCAGTCTGGTCTTGAACCTATGGGCTCAAGCAGTCCCTTACCCAAAGTGCTGGGATTACAGGTATGAGCCACCAGGCCTGGCTCTTTTTTCTTTTCTTTCTTTTTTTTTGTTGTTGTTCTAGAGATGAATTCTCAGCAAGTTGCCCAGGCTGCTCTAAAACCTCTGGGATCTTGCCTCTGACTCCCAAAGTGCTGGAATTACAGGTGTGAGCCACCGTGCCTGGCCATCTTATGGTGCTTATATGAAGTAAATAATACATTAAAAAGATGCTAAGTGTTACGGAAAAAAATTGTTGTCTTTTTCCCCATACTTATTAATTTTTGTATTCTTTTAGACTTGCAAACAAGTTGCAAAAAATACCATATAGACAACCTGCATAACTTTCAACAGCTTCCTCTATTGTTAATTTTTTTTTTTTTTTGAGTTGGAGTCTCACTCTGTCACCCAAACTGGAGTGCAGTGGCATGCTCATGGCCACCGCAGCCTCAACCTGCTGGGTTCAGGCGATCCTTCCACCTCAGCCTTCCAAGTAGCAAGTAGCTGGAACTATAGGCACTGCCACCTGGCCCGGCCAATTTTTTGGTTTATTATAGAGTTGAGATCTCACCAAGTTGCCCAGGCTGGTCTGGAACCTGTGGGCTCAGGTAATCCTCTCACCTCAACCTCCCAAAGTGCTAGGATTATAGATGTGAGCCCCCATGCCCAGCCTCCTTTTTCTGTGTTATAGCACACGAATCAACACCAAGAAATTAGCACTGATAAAATACTATTACCTAGCCAGGCTCGGTGGCTCAGCCTGTAATCCTACGCCTTGGGAGGCTGAGGTGAGTGGATTGCCTGAGCCTGCGGGTTCGAGACCTGGGCAACTTGGAGAGACCTCATCTCTACAATAAATCAAAAAATTAGCCAGGCGTGGTAGCGCGCGCCTGTAGTTCCAGCTACTTGGAAGGCTGAGGAGGAAGGATCACCGGAGCCCAGCAGGTCGAGGCTCTAGTGACCAGGAGCGGCCACTGCACTCCAGTCTGGGCGACCGAGTGAGACTCCAACTCAAAACAAACAAAGAAAAAAAAAACTATTACCCTACCTGCTTCTTTTTTTCCTTTTTTAACCTACTTAACCCCTTCTATTAATTGTGATAGCCTCAATTTTTGGGAAACAGTTTGGCTAGGTTTTTGGCTTTTACTTAATAATTTTGAGGTATTATCTCTGTATTACAATTTTATACTTACCAAGATTATTATCAAGTATATAAATGATAGTTGTATGAGCTGGATGAATGTATTTCTGCAATTTTTGTTTTCTAGGTACCAGATCATCAGTCGATAAAGTTAAGTAATCTAGGTGAGAATAAACACTATGAGGTTGCAAAGAAATGTGTTGAGGATTTAGCACTCTACTTAAAACCACTAAGTGGAGGTAAAGGTAAGTTCATAAAATGCATTTTTACTGGTGAGTAGGACTTGTTAATACATTTAGTTTGATTGACTTGATGTGGCTAGCCTATTAAATATTTTAAGTTTTGGAAAATGAACTTCCTTGAGAGATATCTTGAAAAACGTATAAATTAACAACATTATATAGTACTATTTTCTGGAAATAACCAGTATTGTTACTAATTTAAGAATTCATCAGACCTGCTCCATATTTATACAATATTTAAATTCATTATTTATACAATATTTGAATTTATTATTAATAGTGCTATGGCATCAGTACAGTAATGTGCTGTTAAAAAAAAAATAGTGCCATAGAAGAGTATTAGTGTTGATAAGTCCTATTAAGACCATTTCATGTCTTCATGTCTTCATTTAGTCATTCATTAAATTTTATTGAGCACATAACAGTGGTTAAGGTCACTGCCTTTGTGGAGCCCATAATCTATTGGAGGAGATAGATCTACAAGTGTAGTAAATTACTTTAAATGCTGTGACAAAAGTGGAATTTTATTTTGTTTATCACTGCATTCCTATTGCCTAACATATTATGGGTATAACAAATAATTGTTGAATGAATTAATCAATTGAGTTATTTATTTTATACCTACTCTGTGCTTTGCTGCACTTTTGGGTATTTTGGACATAGTTGCCTATCTTGTCCACCACATACTTGCATTCATTAATTTAGTGAATAGGCTGGGTGTGGTGGCTAAAGCCTATAATCCCAGCACTTTGGAAGGCCGAGGCAAGAGGATTGCCTGAGTCCAGGGGTTCAAGACCAGCCTGGGCAACCTGCTGAGAGCTCTTTCTATAGTATATTAAAAAAATTAGCCGGCGTGGTAGTGTGCACCTGTAGTTCTGGCTGCTTAGAAGGCTGAGGTGGAAGGATTGCCTAAGCCCAGCAAGTCGACACTGGGGTGGCTGTGAGTGTGCCACTGCTCTCCAGCCTGGGTTACAGAGTGAGACTAACTCAAAAAAGAAAAAATTGTTGAACAGATATCTAAAGAGCATGAACTAAGTATCAGGTACTATGATATTGGGATACATTAGTAAACCAAACAGACAGATATACCTTCCCTCGTAGCACTTATGTTTAGAAAAGGGAGAAACTATAATTAACAATAAGTACAGTAAAGCAAATTATATAGTATAAGCAATAATTGTTATGAAAAGAAAATAGAATACAGTTACAGGGATCAGAAATATGAGGGGAGAAGGGCAGGTACCATTTTTTAAAGGGTGACTAGTGTAGTACTCCTTAAGAAGATTGATTCTGAACCTGAAATAAGGTGAAAGAAGTAAGATAGTAGGTTCCGGGAAAACAGTGTTCCAGGCAAAGGGAATAGCCAGTGCATCTTGCCCAAGGCATGCCTAGTGAATTCAAGGAAAAGTAAGAGGAGAGTGTACCTAGAGCACTGTGAGCGAGAGAGCGTTATGAAATAAGATGAGATGAAATGGTGAGGCCATGTGATGTACAGACTTACAGGCCTTTTAAAGACTTGAGGTTTTTTTTGTTTGTTTGTTTGTTTTTTGAGTTGGAGTCTCACTCTGTCGCCCAGACTGGAGTGCAGTGGCCGCTCCCGGCCACTGCAGCCTCAACCTGCTGGGCTCCGGTGATCCTTCCGCCTCAGCCTTCCGAGTAGCCGGAATTACAGGCGTGCGCTACCACGCCCGGCTGATTTTTTTTTTATATATTGTAGAGATGAGGTCTCGCTGCCCAGGTGGTTCTCGAACCCGCGGGCTCAGGCAATCCACTCACCTCAGCCTCCCAAAGGTGCGGGATTACAGGCTGAGCCACTGAGCCAGGCTAAGACTTGAGTTTTACTCTTAGTAAAATTGGGAAGTCATTGCAAGGTTTTGAAGGGAGGAGTGACATGATCTGACTAATGTTAAGTGGATTATTCTTACTCCTCTGTTCAGAATTTGTTTTAGAAGGGCAAGGGTATAAGCAGGGTGATTGGTTATGAAGCTATTAGGACAATGTTAGTAGCAGTGAAAGTGGTAAGAAGTCATTCTGGATATATTTTGAAGGTAGATCCAAGAGTATTTCTTCAATTATTGGTTGTGGGGTGTGAGAGAAACAGCAGAGTCAGGTATAACTCCTGGGTTTTTTGGCCCAAGCACCTGGAAAGGGGGATTGCCATCAACTTAGGGAGTACTGCAAGTAGATCAGTTTAGGCAAAAAGATCTAGTTCAATTTTGGTCATGGTAAGTTTGAGACATCTAATAGTCACTTGGATGCTATTGAGTAACCAGTGAATATAGGTTTTGTGTTAAGGAATAAGGTCTAGAAAGTATTACCTTGGGAATCATTGGCATATAGATTGATTTTAAGGCAAGGAGACTGGATGAAATTGTCTAAATAGGGAGTGTAGTTAGACAAGAGAAAAAGATTCTTTAACATTAAGAGGTCATAGCCAGGCATGGTGGCTTATGCCTATAATCTCAGCACTTTGGGAGGTGAAGGCAATAGGATTGCCTTAGCTCAGAGGTTTGAGACCAGCCTGGGCAACATTGCGCAACCTCATATCTACAATAAATCAAAAAAAATTAGCTGGGCGTTGTGGTGCACACTTGTAGTTTCACCTACTTGGAAGGTTGAGGTAGAAGGATCACCTGAGCCCAGCAGGTTGAGGCTGTGGTGGTGGTGAGCGTGCCACTGCACTCCAGCCTGGGCAACAGAGTAAGACTGACAAAACAAAACAAAAACCATTAAGAGGTCAGGGGCAAAAAATGAAATTAGCAAAGAAGATTAGATAAAAAGAAGAAAGAAAACTATAAGAATGGGTTGCGCTGGAAGCCAAATAAAATGTTTAATGTAGTAAGGAGTGGTCACGTGTCTTGAATGCTTTTGAAAAGTAAGATAAAATAATAAACTGAAGATTAAGTATTGACTTAGAAAAATAGAGGTTACAGTTGTCTTCACAAGGACTATTTTGGTCAAGTGATAGTGGGAAAACTTGTTTGAGGCACATTTTAGAGATTGTGAAGCAAGGAATTGGAAACAGTAAACATAACGGTCATAGACATAGCCAAGTGGTTACAGTGATGGATTAGGAAATAGTATAGATAACTCCAGAGAATTTGCTACAAAGGTGATGAAAGAAATGGGGCAGAGCTGGTAGGGGGAAAAGGATCAATGAAAATATTTATTTATTTTTAATATGCACAAAATAATAGCATACTTGTTCTTTTTGAACACTAATAGAAATGATCAAGTAGAGAGGAAAAGATTGATGTGAGAATGGGAAGAATTGCTGGAGCAATGTCCTTGCATAGGTACAAAGGAATAGACTCTAAAAACTTACCATTAAGTGTTGTTCAAAATGTCTCTTGTATAATTAAAAAAATTAAGGCCAAGTACTGTGGCTCATGCCTGTCATCTCAGCACTTTGGAGGCCTGAGACAAGAGGACTGCTAGAGATTTGTAGCTTGAGACTAACCTAGGCAACATAGCAAGACTTTATCTCTACAAACTTAAAAAATTAGCCGGACATGGTGGTATGTTTCTATAGTTACAGCTACTGGGGAGACTGAGGTGGAAGGTCGAGACGTTGGTGAGCTGCGATTGTGCCACTGCACTCCATCCTGGGCGACAGTGAAACCCCAAACAACAACAACAACAAAAATTAGAGTTGTTATTAATCATTACCTTTTTTTGTTTGTTTGTTTTTTGAGTCAGAGTCTCATTCTGTCGCCCAGGCTGGAGTGCAGTGGTGTACTCATGGCCACCCCAGCGTCAATCTGCTGAGTTTAGGTGATCCTTCTGCCTCAGCCTTCCAAGTAGCTGGAACTACAGGCACATGCCACCATGCCTGGCTAATTTTTTTCTGCTATATTGTAGAGACAAGGTCTCACCAAGTTGCCCAGGCTGGTCTCGGACCTCTGGTCTTAGACAGTCCTCTTGCCTCCGCCTCCCAAAGTGCTGAGGTGACAGGCTTGAGCCACCATGTCTGGCCTACTCATTACTTTTAAGTTAAACTTTTTGTTCAATCATCTTTAAATTTATATTCAATTGTTTAAGTAAAGGTGGAGAGCAGACTAAATAAATACATGGTACTGTCTTTGAACACATAGCAATACCTAAGTAAAATCTGAAGTGACTAAAAATTAGGCTATGGCTGAGTGCGGTGGCTCATGCCTGTAATCCCAGCACTTCGGAAGATCGTGGCAGGAGGATTGCTTGAGCTCAGGAGTTCTGTAACAGCCTGGGCAACATAGTGAGACCTTGTCTCTACAAAAAGTTTAAAAAGTTAGCGAGGCATGGTGGCACGCATGCTATGTTAGCTACTTGGAAGACTGAGGTAGAAGGATTGCCTGAGACCAAGAGATTGAGACTGGTGAATCATGTTCATGCCACTGCACTTCAGCTTGGGCAACAGAATGAGACTGTGGCTCACCAAAAAAAAAAAATCTCCTTATTACTGCAGTATAATGATATAAAGAGAAACAGAAGACTCATTGTTAGAAAAATGAAAGAATGCTACAAGGGACTCATTAGGAATTGTGGTTTAATATTTAAATACAAATTAATGAAAATTGACTTGTCTTTTTTATTGAAAAATTTTTAGTTTTTTTTTGTTTCTGTTTTCCTAAAGGTGTAGCTAGTTTGAACCAGAGTGCACTGAGCCGTCCAATGCAAAGGAAACTTGTGACACTTGTAAACTGTCAACTGGTGGAGGAAGAAGGTCGTGTAAGAGCCATGCGAGCAGCCCGCTCACTTGGAGAAAGAACTGTAACAGAATTGATATTACAGCACCAGAACCCTCAGCAATTGTCTGCCAATCTATGGGCCGCAGTCAGGGCTCGAGGATGCCAGTTTCTAGGGCCAGGTAAAATAGATCACTGTCTTACCTTTTTTATTAACTATTTGGGCTTCAGTTTCTAGAGCTAGGTAAAAATTCTTAGACTCAACTCATCTTTATTTATACAGTAAGTCTCTTTCATATGAACGAGTTCCATTCCGAGAGCACATTTGTAAGTCCAGTTTGTTCATAACTCTAACAAAGTTAGCCTAGGTACCAAACTAACACAATCGGCTATGTAGTACTGTACTGTATAGGTTTATAGTACGTTTCATAAAACTAATACATAAAAAGACTGGACTCGGTGCCTCAGCCTGCAATCCCAGCGCTTTGGGAAGTGAATGGATTGCCTGAGCCCACAGGTTGGAGAACAGCCCGGGCAACTTGGCGAGACCTCATCTCTACAATAAATAAAAAATTAGCCAGGCGTGGTAGCTTGCGCCTGTAGTTCTGGCTACTTGGAAGGCTGAGGTGGAAAGATCGCCAGAGCCCAGCAGGTTGAGGCTGTGGCCTGGGTGACAGAGTGAGACTCCAACTTAAAAAAAAAAGTACAGTACTGTACAGTAAACTACATAAAAGCAAAGCCACTTGTACAGAATGCACGCACATGAACATGTACACCAGACACGTGAACTAATGTATATAATTGGACATGGAAATGTATGTTTGCATCTTTGAAAGTTCTCAGCTTGAAGGTTTATGTATAGGGGACGTATGGTATTTACAAATCTTGACATAAATAAAGGTGAATCAGTTTTTGTTACTCATAATCTAAGTCAGGGGTCCCTAACTCCTAGGCCAAGTTAAATTAGGAAGTGTGCAGCAAAACAGGAGACGAGCTGTGGAAGAGGGGGGTGGGAGTGGGCAACTCTGCCTTCCATCAGATCAGCGGGGGCATTAGATTCTTATAGGAGCACAAACCTTATTGTGAACTGCACATGCAAAGGATCTAGGTTACATGTTCCTTAGGAAAATGTAATGCCTGATGATACCCCCTTCCCCATCCCGCCCCTGCCTATGAAAAAATTGTCTTCTACAAAATCGCTCCCTGATGCCAAAAAAGTTGGGGACCACTGGTTTTTTGTTATAGACAGTGCTTCAGTGTTTTAGAACAAATTGTTTTGTCTGGGTGCAGTGGCTAATGTTTCTAATCCCAGCAATCTGGGAAACCAGGGTGAGAGGATTGCTTGAGCCCAGAAGTTTCTAGCTTGAGTCAGGATTTCGAAATCAGCCTAGGCAACATAGCAAGACCTCACCTCTACAAAAAATTTTTTAAAAATTAGCCAAGCACGCACTTGTAGTCCCAGCTACTTAGGAGGCCGAGGTAGGAGGATCACCTAAGCCCAGGAGGTCAAGTCTGTGGTGAGTGGTAATTATGCCACTACACTCCAGAAGCAAAAGGCTGGGCGTGGTGACTAATATCTGTAATCCTAGCACTTTGGGAGGCCAAGGTAGAAGAATCCCTTGAGCCCAGGAGTTCAAGACCAACCTGGACAACATGGTGAGAACTCGTCTCTACAAAAAATAAAAAATTAGACATGTATGGTAGCACATACCTGTAGTCCCAGCAACTTGGGAGGCTGAGGCAGAAGGATTGCTTGAGCCCAGGAATTAGAAGTTGCAGCAACCCAAAGTTGTGTCACTATACTCCAGCCTGGGTGACAGAGTGAGACCCTGTCTCAAAAAATAAATAAATTTTTTTTCTTTTGTAAGTTTCAAGTTCTGTCAACAGAGGCAACATTGCTATAATTTTGCAATTTAGAAAACTGTATTAGAGGCCTAAGATTGCATAGGTACTAAATAAAAGAATGGGAATCCTTTTTGTGTGTGTGTCTAAAAAACAAATAAAATACTCTTCATTGTTTTTAAAACTTAACAAAAAAATTAAAACCACCAAGGGATAATTATTTATGATTAGTGCTGTCTATGTTCTGCTTTTAAAAATCTTTATCTCAACCAGAGTTATAAAGTAGTCTCCTGTGTTTTGTTCTAGATTTATTATCTTAACATTCTGATTTAGAACTCAGTTCAGGTAGAATTTATTTTTGGAAAGGAAACTGTTAAAATAAGTAACATTGGGATAGCTGTATAGATGTGGAAAAAGACCAAACTAGATGCATTTCTTATACCTTATAAACTCTGTAAATTACAAACAGATCAGAATACTTATAATTAAGAAATAGGCCAGGCACGGTAGCTTAAGCCTATAATCCCAGCACTTTGGGAGGCTGAGGTGAGAGAATTGCCTGAGCCTGTGGGTTCGAGACCACCCAGGGCAACATGATGAGACCTCATCTACAATAAATCAAAAAATTAGCTGGGCATGGTGGTATGTGCCTGTAGTTCTGGCTACTTGGAAGGCTGAGGCGGAAGGATTGCCTGAGCCCAGCAAGCCAAGGTTGCGGTGGCCGGGAGCGACCACTACACTCCAGTCTGGGCGACAGAGTGAGACTCCAGCTCAAAAAAAAAACACTAGACAGAGTTGATGGTTGTACCACACTGTAATTATGCTAAATGCCACTGAATTGGTTAACTTGTATGAATTTTTTTCTCAACTTTTAAAAAAGAGCTCAGTTTTAGCTCAATTTTGCTACTAACTATCTTACCTTGGGTTAGTCACTTAACTTCTGTGGACCTCAATAGCCTCACTTAGATAAAGGGATTGCAGTTTGAATCTACATTCTAGCTCTGAAGTTCCATTGTTTTGACAGGATAATCATGTATTTTTAACTTTTAATTTTGAAATAATTTCAAATTTATTGAAATAGTATCAAATTTAATGAAAAGTTGCAAGAATAAGGCCAGGTGTGGTGGCTCACACCTCTAATTCTAGCCCTTTGGAAGGCCAAGGCAAGAGGATTTATTGAACCCAAGTGTTCAAGACCAGCCTAGGCTGCATAGCAAGACCTTGTCTTTACAAAAAAAATTTTTAATTAGCTGGGCATGGGGGTGCATACCTGTATTTTCAGCTACTCAAGAGGCTGAGGCAGAAGGATCACCTGAAGCCAGGAAGTCAAGGCTGTGGTGAGCCATAATTGTGCCACAGCACTTCAGCCTAGGAGGCACAGTGAGACCCTGGCTCAAAAAATAAAAATAAAAGTTTTAAGCATAGTGCAGATAATTCTCTGTGTACTCTTTACCCATATTCAGCAGTCTTATGTTCTGCCATGTTTGTTCATCTTTCTTTCTCTTAACCATTTGAGAGTAGGTTGCATATTTTATGCCCCTTATCCTTGTTATTTCAGTTTGTTTCCTAATAAAAATATACTCCTCGGCCGGGTGCAGTGGCTCAAGCCTGTAATCCCAGCACTTTGGGAGACTGAGGTGAGCAGATTGACTGAGCCTGCAGTTTGAACACCCTGGGCAACTTACTGAGACTTCATTTCTACAATAAAAATAAAAACAAAAAATTAACTGGGCATGGTAGTGCACACCTGTAGTTCCAACTGCTTGGAAGGCTGAGGTGGAAGAATCTCCTGAGCCCAGCAGGTCGACACTGGGGTAACTGAGCATGCCACTGCACTCCAGCCTGGGTGATGGAGTGAGACTCCAACTCAAACAAACAGAAAAACATACTCCTGCTACCAGTGATCTCAAAGAAAAAAATCTATATGTAAAACAGTACCTGTACTTGTATGTTCATTACAAAACTATTCACAATAGCTAAATCAAGGAACCAACCAAAGTGTCCAGCAACAGTTGACTAGATAAAGAAACCATGGGATATTATGCAGCCATAAAAAGGATGACATCATATATTTTGCAGCAACATGGATAGAGCTAGAGATCATCATCCTAAGATGATTCAGAACTCAGAAAACCAAATACTGCATGTTCTCATATGCAGGTTCTAAATAGTCACGGAGGTGAAAATGATAGGATGAGGGAGTTAAGGTTCAGAAATTACCTATGGGGTACAGTGTTCACTGTATGGAGAATGGGGCACCTGAGACCCAATCCCCATCATTGTACAATACAAGGGGGAACCCAAAAAACCATGAACAATCATTTTGAGGGACAGGTCCCTTGTACAGGCTTCCCTGCTAGAAAAATGTTCTAGGAACCCATTGTCATCAGTGTACCAGTTAGCATTGTTGTGCATCACGATTTGCAGAACAAACGTCCCGAGTCTGGCAATTAGTTGATGGGTTATACCACCATGACATTGTATCTGCCCGCATTATGCTGAGTACTCAGCAGTTTCTGACCAAAAATGGTATGATCCCCGTACCCCAACCTTCCTATTTACCTAATCTCCCCTCAAGTAACTTTCCTGGATGAAAAAATCCTGAGAGGGCAACGTTTTGCCAATGTGGCAGAAGTGAAACAAAAAATGGCAGAAGCACTAAAGGGCATCAAAATTGACAAATTCAAAAACTGTTTTGAGCCATAGGAAAAGCATCTTGATAGGTGAATTGCATTAAACAGAGAGTACGTAGAAGGTGACTGAGGTTTAAAAATGTAAGAATTAGTACACCGTTTTTTATAAAGTTTGGTTTCTTTGGGTCCCCACTCATATGTCCATGTACCCTCTGAATCTAAAAAAAAAAAAATTGGAGGTCAGGTACGGTGGCTCACGCCTATTATCCCAGCACTTTGGGAGGCCGAGGTGAAAGGACTGCCTAGGCAACCTGGTTAGACTTCATTTCTACAGTAAATCAAAAAATTAGCCGGGTGTGTGGTGCATGCCCATAGTTCCAGCTACTAGGAAGATGAGGTGGAAGGATCACCTGAGCTCAGCAGATCAAGACTGTGGTGGCTGTGAGCAGCATGCCACTGCACTCCAGTCTGGGCGACAGAGTGAGACTAACTCAAAAAAAAAAAAAAAAAAACTGGAGTAAAATAAAATGTAAGTACTCCTATGTAACAAGAATACATTCATCAAATTTTAAAAACAACAATTATATAATTCCGTACTACAGTCTGTAGTTCGTATTTCAGTTTTGTCTGTTGTTCCAAAAATATCTTATGGCATTTTCTTCTAGTATAGGATCCAGTCCAAGGTCACTTACTGTATTTATTTGTCATATCTCTTTTTAGTCTTTAATATGTAACTATTCTGCTTTGTATGACATTGATGTTCTTGAAGAATACAAGGCTTTTTTTTTTTTTTTTTTTTTTTGAATTTGAGTTTGAGTCTCACTCTGTCTCCCAGGCTGGAGTACAGTGGTACGCTCACAGCCACTGCAGCCTCCCCCTGCTGGGTCAGGTGATCCTTCCACCTCAGCCTTACAAGTAACTGAAACTACAGGTATGCGCCACTATGCCCGGCTAGTTGTTTTTTGTTGTTGTTGTTGTTCTAGAGATGAGGTCTCGCCAAGTTGCCTGGGCTGGTCTCAAACCCGTGGAATCAGGCGGTCCTCTCACCTTGGCCTTCCAAAGTGCTGGGGTTATAGGTGTGAACCACCACGCCCAGCCAAGGCTTTTCATTTTATAGAGTATTTCTTAGTTTATCCGATGTTCCCTCATGACTACATTTCAATTATATGATATATCCCTTGCTGTAAAACATTGTAAATGAAGGTAATATCATCGTTGGGTATTGCTTTCAGAGACTAATATTATTTTTAAATTATATACAAAATAGTTCTGATAGGTAAAGTAACAGTCTTGAGCAAAATTACTGTTATTTGTTTTTGTTTTTCGTTTTGAGTTGGAGTCTCACTCTGCCGCCCAGGCTGGAGTGCAGTGGCATGCTCTTGGTCACCCCAGCGTTGACTTGCTGAGCTCCAGTAATCCTTCCACCTCAGCCTTCCAAGTAGCTGGAACTACAGGCACGTGCTACCATGCCCGGCTAATTATACTTGATTTATTGTAGAGACTAGGTCTTACCGTGTTGCCTAGGCTGATCTCAAACCCATGAGCTCAGGTAATCCTCTTGTTTCGGCCTCCCTATGTGCTGGGATTACAGCCATGAGCGTGCCACTGCACTGCAGCCTGGGTGGCAGAGTAAAACTCCAACTCAAATTAATAAATAAATACAAATTGTGACTAATGGACTACCATAAACTGGCACAATTTGCTGGGTTCCTCGTTTAAACTGGCACAATTTGCTGGGTTCCTCGTTTATTATGAATTTATGTTCCTTTAATATTTCTAGCTATGCAAGAAGAGGCCTTGAAACTGGTGTTGCTGGCATTAGAAGATGGTTCTGCCCTCTCACGGAAAGTTCTGGTACTTTTTGTTGTGCAAAGACTAGAACCAAGATTTCCTCAGGCATCAAAAACAAGTATTGGTCATGTTGTGCAATTACTGTATCGAGCTTCTTGTTTTAAGGTAAGTGGTAAGCAACTATCTTAAGGGGGGGTACATGCCTGTATGTGAGACAGAGGCTTTCTCAAATTCATGTTACCCAACCTGTAGGCTCCAGAAATGCAGAATGCTTGAAAGAGTTGGAGGAAACTTTTTCTCCTTCTGCATAGATAATTCCTGCCTATTACTACATATTGACAAAATAACAGCATATATGTGAAGATGTCAGTAACACAGACTAAATCATAAATTATTTGGTAAACTTGATTCTTATCAAGTAAAAGTGGACTATAGAAACCTAATTTATTTATATTTAGTATCTTAAAAGGTAGGTTAGGAACTGTATTGAAAACTTTGTAAGAGGAGGCACACTTTGTAGCCCATTAGTAATTTTGTTATTCTTTGTGATTAAAGCCTTTAATCTTAAAATGGCCTACATGTTGTCTTAGATACAAGAAATTGGAAGGTTGAGGAAATTGCCCTACTCTGCATTTAGGTATTGTTTTTTCTTTGGTGGAAAGGGCAGGGAAGAACCCCGAGATATTTTTTAACGTAGATTCATTGTTTAATAATCTAGTGGGTGGTGACAAACACTGATAGCAAGCTGAATCCTTGAAAAGTTTCCATATGTTTCAAGAGTGTGAGTTGCTTTGGTTTTGAGAAAGGACCAAGAATGTGGAAATAGAAAGGCCCATTGGCTTCTGTGAGAGTAAAGCATCTATATTAGAAACCAAAGCTAGCTGGGCTCGGTGGCTCAGCCTGTAATCCTGCGCCTTGGGAGGGTGAGGTGAGTGGATTGCCTGAGCCCGCGGGTTCAAGACCCGCCTGGGCAATTGGTGAGACCTCATCTCTACAATAAATCAAAAAATTAGCCGGATATGGTAGCGTGCACCTGTCGTTCCAGCTACTTGGAAGGCTGAGACGGAAGGATCGCCGGAGCCCAGCAGGTCGAGGCTGCGGTGGCTGGGAGTGGCCACTGCACTCCAGTCTGGGTGACAGAGTGAGACTCCAACTCAAAAAAAAAAAAAGAAAGAAACCAAAACTTATTTAGGTTATTTTGCTGGTTTTATATTCCTAACTGTGAAAAAGTACAGACAGAAAAAAGTGTCCTTGGCAGACTGCTTAGTTTAAGTTGATGATGGAAATGTATTCAAATGAATTCATTTAACTCTACTAATGAAGCTTGACACTATCTGTCTCATAGTCACAGAGGTTGATTTCATAATCCTAGGGCTACATTGAAATGAATCTCTGGTTCCTCAAACATAATAATTTTGGCTAAGAAGACAAATTCAGAGGTCATTTGTCTCCATAAAGTGACTGACTAGGTTCTCACACTGTATATCACTGATGTAATGGGATATTTTCCTTATAGGTATCATATTTATTTGTAGTTTATGTCTATAGCTGCTACTAATATCTGACATTTGAATAATTATAGTTTAGAAAATTATTTCAATTTTATGCTCTTATCCTCACTGCCTTGTAGTTTAAAATGTTACAGTACAGTGTTTGTATGTATAAAAGGATATACGCCAACATAACTGTCAAAAAGCCTCATTCAGGTGGTGTTTATTTTTAATAAAATCATCTTTGTCCAAAGTCTTTTCCTCATCTTTATAGGTTTGGAGACCTGAATTCTGTGGATGTATACAGTAGATTCTTTTTCAGGATCAGAATTACCCTAACCAAAGTCACATGCAACAATCATCAGTTATATCAATTTGTAATGAGAACTATAATTCTTAAATGCCTTGAATTCTTGTGTTAGTATTTTCCTGTAAAAAAGTATTAAACCTTTGCTTATTGAGCATAGGATCAGAACAAGGGGAGTTAATGATTCTAATGTTTAGTGCAGTAGCTCTTCTCTAAAGGTACACATCAGAATCACCTATGGAGCTTCTAAAAGTATGCAGTCCTAGGCTCTATCACCAGATATTTTGATTGAGCATATACTTTTTAATTATAGGATCTTCAGGTCCAGGGATTCTGACTCAATAGACCTGAGATTGTGTTTTTCAAAGCCTCACAGATAATGTTGATGCATGTATTAGCAACATTATAAGACCAGGCTTCTTAACTATCTATGTTCTTCTTCACTACTCAGATAGATGGACGCTTATACTACTACCCATAACACCCTACATGACCTACATGATGCTTGAATGAATGCTACCATCCTCTGGTTTTATAATTTGTTTTTTTGTTATTTAAGGTGACAATACCTCCTTTTGTTTCCTTAGTGTTTAAGTAGGTCTTAGTGGAGTATAGATTTTTTGGGGGGCTTCTAAATTATACTCTTTCCTCCCTCCCTCTCTCTCTCCCTCCTTTCATCCCTCCCTCTCTCTCTCACCCTTCCCCCTCCCTCCCTCCCTCCCTCTCTCTCTCTCCCTCTCTTAGCTTCCTGAGTAGCTGGAACTGCAGGCACATGGTACCCAGTTACTCTACTCTTTCTTAAATTATACCTAAGGTCATATTGATTAAAATTTTGAACGTGCCAAACACTTCTATGATGTATTTGTAGATTCCCAAAGATAATTAATTGTGACCTGCTAACTTTAAGATGGTAATTTTTTTATTAATTTCCCCATCTTCATGTTCTTGGGGACATATTACTGTTGTTTTATGTGCCAACAATAGCAATAAAAATAACCAGTAAGGTAGCCCCAAGGAGATTTTCTTTTACTGCTGAGGAAACTGAGTGTTTAATAGTTTGCATGATTTGTCCAGTTTAAATTTCAGAGCCTGGGCTGGTTTTATGTATTCTGAATCCTAACCAAGTTTCAGTTATCTTTGTGGCCATTAACAAGTTTTAGGCTTCTGGAATAAATGTGTATTACTTATTGTGAAAATTATGTAGCCCATATACTTGCATGTTTGGATTATTAAACAACTTCACTAGTACATGTAAGACTCCGTGACTTCAATTTATTTTTTTATCACTTAAGTAGTGATTAAAGGTATGTAAATACCTTAATAATAATTTATGTGGTGGCAGAAATTTTCTTTTTCTTTCTTTTTTTCTTTTTAAGAAACAGGGTCTTGGCTGTGTTGCTCAGGCTGGAGTGCAGTGCATGATCATAGATCACTACAGTCTTGAACTTCTACTTTCAAGTGATCCTTCTGCCACAGCCTCCTGAGAAAATGTCTTAATATTCATATAGTAGTGCTAATACATGCCTACCCATTGGCTGGATTTCTTGCTTGTCTATCTATCTATCCCCTGCTGCTAACAAAGTGATGTTTTTAAAAACATAAATCTGATCATGTTACGCCTCTGCTTAAAAGTCCTTAGTGGCCGGGCTCGGTGGTTCAGCCTGTAATCCCACACTTTAGGAGGCTGAGGTGAGTGGATTGCCTGAGCCTGCGGGTTCGAGACCCGCCTGGGCAACTTGACGAGACCTCATCTCTACAATAAATCAAAAATCAGCCGGGCGTGATAGTGCACGCCTGTAGTTCCAGCTACTTGGAAGGCTGAGGCGGAGGGATTGCCGGAGCCCAGCAGGTCGAGGCTATGGTGGCCGGGAGTGGCCACTGCACTCCAGTCTGGGTGACAGAGACTCCAACTCAAAAAAAAAAAAAAAGTCCTTAGTGGCTTCACATTCCCTTCAGGATAACATCCAATTTCTTGTTATAGTATAAGAGAACCTCTACTATTATTTTCTGGTCTGTATCTTAGCCCTTAACCCAGTGTGCTGTACTTTTTCATGTTTCTATTTGCCACTACTCCTCTTTTTAGAATTCTGTTCCTCACCCATCTTTGCCAGGGAAACTCCTATCTATTCTCAAGTTTCAGTTCATGTAACTTTCAGCTGGGAGAAGCCTAAATGAAATCCCTTTCCTCTCCTTGCCAGTCATATTTGATTGTCTTTCCTCTATGTTGCCATAGAACTTTATAATGGCACTTTTACTATAATTTTCTGCTTACAAGTTTGTCTTCCCTACCAGCTGCTGACCTCATTGAAGAAAAGGATTATGTCTTTAGTTATGTAAATTGTTTTGTTCTAAAAGGATTTGTGGCGAGGACATATTATTTTTGTGCCTTATTGTGTGGTGTCTTAAGTGTAGTATGTGCCCCACCTCAGAAAAAGAATAAATGAATTGGTTAAAGGGAAGAGGAACAGACCGATTCTACCTTTTTTCTTTTTTCTATTTTTTAGGTTACCAAAAGGGATGAAGACTCTTCCCTAATGCAGCTAAAGGAAGAATTTCGCAGTTATGAAGCATTACGCAGAGAACATGATGCCCAAATTGTTCATATTGCTATGGAAGCAGGACTTCGTATTTCACCTGAGCAGTGGTCCTCACTTTTATATGGTGACTTGGCTCATAAATCACACATGCAGTCTATCATTGATAAGGTTTGTGAAATTAGAGATCCTGATTTTATACCATTGCTGTTATGTTGAAGGATATTAGAATATTCTAAAGAGTCTAGAGACAAATAGTTGGAGATTCCTATGTTTTTAAATATCAGACTCTTATAAAGTACCTTTTTTTTCTTTTTATTGTTTTTCAACTTGCAAAATAAAATAAGGCATACAACAGGGAAGCAAATACATGATATTAGCATAAAAGCAGCTAAACTTGCAAAGTCTCAAGCTTATCCACATTCTGATGCCAGAGAACTAATACAGCTTATATGTTTTCTAAACGTCTAATGATGAATTTCATAGGGCAGATTCTGAGGTGAAAATTTAATTCATCATTGATACTCCTATGGAATCTGAAGACACTTGAAAACATATTAAGTATGTTGACTAATTGGAAATATTTGAGTGTAGATGTGTCATAGAACCAAAGTAAAAACGATTATCTTTTCTGTTTATTAGCTACAGTCTCCAGAATCATTTGCAAAGAGTGTCCAAGAATTGACAATTGTTTTGCAACGAACAGGTGACCCAGCTAACTTAAATAGACTGAGACCTCATTTAGAGCTTCTTGCAAACATAGACCCTAATCCAGGTGTGTGAAAATATGCTCAGTTGCTTATACTTTTTCTACCTTTGAGGTAAATGAAACAAGAGAATTACTGCTAACATTCTCCCCTTCTCCCCATCCTATTCCATTGGTGGTTCGTTTCAGATGCTGTTTCACCAACTTGGGAGCAGTTAGAAAATGCAATGGTAGCTGTTAAAACTGTAGTTCATGGTCTTGTGGACTTCATACAAAATTATAGTAGAAAAGGTCATGAGACACCTCAGGTAGGTACATTTATTACACTTCCCATTGCTGTTAATCTCTAATAGTTTCATCGTGAATATATTAGCAAGCTGTTTGTTTAACTGACTCCCTATGTGACTCTAGTCTCTTATAAGTTTTTATTGTCTCTGTTTTTTGGGGGGAAATCCAGTTTTTAGTGTACCTGATAAACACTTTATAGGAAGGGTTTAGAGAGTATCTTGGATGTGAGTTCACTTCTTTACAAAATATTTTGACCAAGTATAGATCATTGATTCCTTCCAAAAAGTTTCCTCTAATTCTTTTCTTTTTTAAAAGTATATTTATTTTTTATTTGCTTCTTTTTTTAGTCAATGTCTCTGTTGCCCAGGCTGGAGTGCAGTGGCATGGTCACAGCTCACTGCCGCCTCTACTTCCTGGACTCAGGCAATCCTTCCATCTCAGCCTCCTGTGTAGCTGGGACTAGAGGCACAACTACCATGCCCAACTAATTTTTTAATTTATTTGTAGAGACTCAGGCTCACTGTTGCCTAGGCTGATTGCAAACTCCTGGACTCAAGCATTCCTCCTGCCTTGGCATCCCATAGTGCTGGGATTACAGATTTGAGTCACCGTGCCTGGCCTTAATTATAGACAGAGACAGAGTCTTGCTATGTTGCCCAGGCTGGTCTCTAACTCCTAACCTCAAATGATCTTCCCACCTTAAGTCTCCCCAAAGTGCTAGGATTACAGGCATGAGCCACCATGCTCAAGCAGTCTAATTCTTTTGTAATGTGAGAAATTGTCACTTTTTTCCCCATACTCTCAACCAAATGAATTTCTGCTTATAAATGTGTGAAATTTGAATTTTCAAGGTATGTTCATGTACTTTAGAAGCTTAGATAAAATTTTTTATTCTAATAACTTCCATTTATTTAAGTTACTGTGGGCCAGTCCCGTTCAATATTTTTATGTATATTCTTTCTTTCCTTTTTTTTTTTTTTTTTTTTTTTTTTT